GACAGTGGTCTGCAGCTTGGTAGGTGTCACACCATCCCCAGTCCTCTCCACCTCCAGATGACAAAGCCAGCTCATATACAATGTCACTTTAGAAACGCTGATGATACCTATGAAACATGCAAATGTAACATTTCTGTGGTTTGCAGAAACGTATAATGCCAACATTTTCCTCTGGCAACTGGGCTGGAATTACAGCTCGTGGCTCACCTGTCCTGAGGCCGAGCCACTCAGTATCTGTTGAGGACTTAAGGTCAGGTAGAGTAAATCTGCAGCAGACATTCTTAGAGGGCTAATCTCCTTATAACTGCTGAGGACTGAGACAAGCTTCAGATCTGTCACAGCGAACAGGAAGTTGTCTCAAGATAGCAGCAGCAGCAGTAGTAGTAGTAGTAGTAATACTTGGAGAGTGTCCATTACATCAGACTTTAAGCATGATATGATGGTTAATGCTGACACAGAGGTTGGACAGATCTTACTTCAAAAAGGAAATAAATTGATGCTACAAAAAGCCGACACAAACTAAATGACAGGCAGGAAGACAGATATCAGTGAGACTAATTAGGTGGCAGGGAAAATAAATTAATCCCTGTAAATACGGATTACTTTTTAAGCAATATGAGGAAGAAGCGCTGACGTTTGTTGATTCTGCGTTTGCATTTTTACATATACTTATATTAGAATTCTCTTTTTAGCCAGTTTCTTTTACCTGCAGACATTGGAAGCCTGGTAACACTTTAAAAACAGCCTGTGATTTACAGTGTGATTGTGTTGCATGAATTAGGTACCAATAAGATACTTATCAGCTGCTGCTGCTTAAATGGAGGCACAGCAGAAGAAAACAAGACTATGGGAAACGAGGGAGCAACAACTGACCATATAAGAGTAAAGGAGGAATAAATTATTCTCTGTTTATTATTAATTTTTGTAAATACTGGGCACCTTTAGGGTACAGTCCTGGGAAACAACAGGTTCACCTCACCGTGCCTCTCTTGGCTAGCACAAAACGCTTTGTACAGTGACATCATTAATTATCGGCTACACTAGTACCATTTGTCATAATACATAAATTAGTATCATGAATCACATTAGCTAGTGAAGTAACTCAGCAAGCAACTGACATATCCTATCAGATATTATTTTGCCAGTGATAACATTAGCGAGCAAGCAAGCTAAGGTTAGCCAGCTAGCTGTAACTAAGCTACGCTGCGTTGATCTGCCATTGGTTGCTTCATCACGTTAGCTCATTTAGTAATTTGCAAACATCAAGATAGCCTCTTTATCAGCCAGATCAACCCTGGAGTCTGGATCAATACAATTATCTTAAGCATTTAAGACTCAAGTATTTTGCTACGTCAGCTAGCTAGCAATTTGTCCACTATAGCAAGCAAGCAACAATTAGGTAACGTCAGCTGGCTAACACAACAAAATCACAGTATTTCACATGTCAGTGTCTCCTCTAACATTTCATTTTCAGCACCAAAGGGAAGTGAAATTACTATATGGGGCACTGAATTTGATGAGTTTACTGGTGATCAGACCACAAATGAAACAAGAATTGATTAGCTGGCACAGCCTGTGAACTCTACGCCTCACACCCTGCCACCAGGACACTGCTATCCCGTGAGGAGAGTGGACGGCAGCTCGGACCTTAGCCACTGAAGCAACTCAGTTTTCAGCCAGCCAAAACCCAGCCCCGAGGTTGACGACGGGCTGATGGCAATTATTAGTGCTGAGTGTAATGGCAGCAACAGAAAGTTTGCTGATTTATTTATTTATTTATTTATTTATTTATTTATTTGCGGTTTCGAGTTGCTACACATAGGGTGATATTAAAATTGACTTTTATCGTACCAGTACATTTGCTTATCTATGATGTTGAAAAATGTAACTGGACAAAAAAATCTCAAGTTTATTATAGTTATTTCCAAAAGGGAGACTTTTTACACATACTTCCATTAATAAATGGTTTCCAGTTTTACATATAGTAATAAAACGCAAGTTTAACCAAAAATAACCGTTCCATTTGAATTCATTTAAGGGTCATTCTGAGTTATAAAAATAATAATAATTCTGTAATACCATGATACTGCAATATTTTCTAAGACGGTTTTCGTACCATGAAAATCTCATACCGCTGGCATCATTCTTTAATAAATTTTTCTGTTTAATCTGCTTGGCTTCACTTTATGTCTGTAAGTGTCTTTTTTTTTCTTGCTATGTTGAAATACTTTCTGGTCTATGATCATTTTATCCTGAAATTCTTTCATTTGGGTGTCAGCCTAACATTCTGATTATTTTTATATTTTAACTTGTCTGTGCTTTTATTTAATGCCTGTTCTGTATTTCAGTGTGCAGAACCCCTGGAAGACTGGGGCACATTCATGTGCTTCTAATGGGGATTCTTGAGTAATCAATAAACAATAAACAGGGCGCTAAGTGAAGGTTTGTCTTTGCGGGACCACCGCTACAAACTGCATATAACAGAAACACAGCATGGGTGGACTGTGTTGTGGTGGGTGCCGGTGCTTTGTTGACGTTAGTGGACCCCACTTCTGAGTTAACGTTAGCTACTATTACACATTGTTAGCTCTGTATCGGAGCTGAAGAGACCTTTACAAGAAGAAAATTGTCTCCAGGCTTTTACAGGTAACCGAGAATGTCGGGGACGGTCTCAGTTTCTAAGTTATGTTACAACCTGTTCACCCTTTAGCAATAAAAAACGATTGATACATGTACACAGTTACACACAGAACCTTTAAAGCCCAATTTATGTCCTCCTTCCTCCAAAATGGTCGGTTGTTACTCTCTTGTTCCTCATAGATACATGTTAAGGAAATGATACTGTAAATCACAGGCTGTATCATAAAGTGTTACTGAAGTCCCCAACCAATCACATTATTTCCCCCACAGTGTATGAACCAGGTGTCCAGTTAAAAGTCCCATCTGCCCCTCTGCAGGTAAATTAATGAGTGTGTGTAATCAGAAAAGATCACTGATCAAAGCTTTACAAACAGGAGTCTCCCTTGTCTCAGGAGCCGGGGGCCCCATGTGCTTCACAGAGAGGACAAGGATGTTATTGTGCAAAGAGACAGAAGGAGAGCCCACCTGATCGCTGCTCAGCCAATCACATCTCCCCTCTGGGCTGCACCTCAGGTATCCTCTGTCTGCCCTCTGGGTGGGAAAGGGGGTCAAAGGTGGTTAAGACAGAGAGCAGCTGTTGGCAGGGGAGACGGAAAGTTAGCTGAGGGATGTGTTTCACAAAGTGAGCTACAGTTAAGAGTTTTATAAAGTAACTGCAGCCGTCAGATAAATGTAGAACACTAAACAGTATGTTATTTCCCTCTGAGATGTAGAGAGGCAGATGTATCATAACAATAAATGGAAATACTTATGTAAAGTACAAGCAGTGGTGGAAAGCAGCAGAGTACATTTACTCAAGAACTGAAGTTAAAGGGGTACTTTGACATTTTCAACCTGAATCATCTTCTCTTATATTTTCATGCCAGGTGAGCAACATTGCAGCTAGCAAACACACACACACACACACACACACACACACACACACACACACACACACACACACACAGATACACTGCAGTATAATGTGCCCACACAACTTTAGGTTATTTAATAAAGTGACCCTACATGTTGTGCTTCACAGTTGGAGAAGTAATAACCCGTCCAGCATCCTTGCGCACTCAGTATGGGAAGCTATTGCATCATACATTGTAGCCTGCGATTCAGTAGGCGCTGTCATTGTACAGTCTGAATACATCAAACTTGATGTCATACCCAAGTTTATTAAATCCAGGTCGCACAGTGTAGCTGCACTAAACTTATAAGATGACTAAAATCTCACAGTCTGTAGGAGGCTTAAGTGACCAACTAGTTTACCGTCCTAAAACACACTTCATTCAAAGTTGGCAGAAACAAAATAAAACTCATAAAAACTGTCTTGGCTCGTCTTTCCACTGTTCCAACAATCACCAGCTCTGGTTTGGTTGAAATAAACCCTTAATTCACCCAGTGAGATGTGTAAATATACTGACTCTATACATGCTTGAATTAATGTTTATTTGAACGGAGTCTGATGGGTCTGACAACAGCAATTATGGGGCTGTTTCTGGTTCAACAAAAAGTGTATCTCTGTAGGGATCCTTTCCGTCATGTTGTCTGATAACAACAATCTGAGCCTGTCAGTTGCAAAAAAAAACAAAAAACACTTTTAGCAGATATAAAGTGACAGTGCACACATACCCTAAGTAGTTACATTGCAGTCTCTTTGACATCTGCAGGCTGCAGCGGTCTGGCTCAAGACTGGACCAATTTAAAAACTTGTTGTTCTTATTAGTCACTTAGACACAAAAACATGGTAAAATAGGTCCAGATTGAAAAATACCTAGGTTTCCTTTAAGTATAACGGTTAAGGCACAATTTTTTTCATACTTCACTACATTTCAGATGGATATATTGTAATTTTTAATCTCCTACATTTATTTTAAGAACTGAGCTCAACTACCTCGACAACATTAAAAACATAAACAATATGTACAGTTATGTGCATTGTATGTTGAATTAACTTATACATTCAAGAGGTGAAACATATCGCACAGTTGAATGACTGCACAGAATATTACACCCAATAGATAATTATGAATAACACATGCAGTAAAATTATGAATGGTGGATTTGTGACTTAATTGCGGGATCTGAATATTTCTTGAACTGTTATCCAAGAGTACCTCGACAGTGTATCCTGTTTAAGTGGAGTAGTTAAGTAAATGTACTTAGTTACATTCCACCGCTGCCTGTTCCTTAAATATTTCTCTCAGATATAGAAATACATGATGTTCTTATTCTCTGAGCTCCTCCTCTCCCCGGCAGGAGGAGCGCTTCCCCCCGGACCGCTCCTCTCTGTATAGTTGTGACGGATGCGCGCACCCCCCGCCCGCTCCCGTGACGCAGCGCAGCTCCGTGCGCACAGATGCTGGAGTGGAAGCGACAGGCGCGCTCATCTCGGTGGGACTGAACGCATCGAAGACCGGAGACGGGGGAGAAGATCACCCGGTAAAGTGTCCGTCAGGAGCCTCAGACCGCGGGGAACGATGCTCAGGACGAGTCTGTCCGCGGGCAGCAGTACTTAAAAAGCTGCGGTCCATCCATCAGGACACTTTTTACTCTCGCCCCTTCCTCTCTGATCAGGAAGATAAGAATCCAGGCAGTCATCCTCCAGCTCACAGTCCTCTTTGGGCACCTAACCCCAGTTTGACAGCCAGTCTGGTTCAATCCCAGCACGATGTGGAAGACTGTGATCCTCCTGCTGATGTGGGTGTCTCTGGCGTCCGGAGAACTCCAACAAGAGACGGAGCAGCGGAGACTGCCACCCCCGGGAAAGTTGGATTTCGGTTATGTGCCTGCGGGAGTTTACGAGACTCTGGCTCACTACGAACCGGGACCGATAGGGATCCTGTTCCACATGGTGCACGCGTTTCTGTATGTCGTGCAGCCCAACGCTTTCCCGCAAGGTAAGCATCCTCATCCGGTCTGACAGTGCAACAGAGAGATGAAATCCCCGGGTGATGTGACAGGGACTGACAGCGGAAACAGTGTGACATTTCTAGGGAATGCAACTGTGAGTTGCTGTCACTTCTGGCACTATTAAATTGGCTGCACTAACCTGTTACTACAGAGTGATATCCATCTCTGCATGTCAGATTAACCAATGAAATCTTTAAGAGACAGGATCCTGTTGGTTTTGTCACAGGACTGGTTGGTTCTGAGAATATTACAACAGAAGATAACCTGTGTACCATATTTACCGGGTCTCTACCAGTTGGCACATTTTCCTGCGCCAAAACTCCACGTGCAAATATGTTAAAATGACTTGTCATGAATATTGTGAATCAAATAACAGATAACATCCGGCTTGTCTTCATCTCTGTGTCTGACAATGTGTCCACTCGCGGATTTGTTGCCCGTCTGTGCGTCACGGCCCTCCGTGCCGCGCGCGTTTTGATTTGCGCGCAGAGCTGACAGCGCTCTTGAAGGTGGTGTTTGTGCCTGCGGCGCACTTTATGTCAGGATAATTACAATTAATGAACCTCTTGCTGACAGCGTCACGTGCTCTGCGGCCGGTTTATACACATTTTTTGTCGCAGGAGTGAGTGAGCGGATGTTTGTTGGAGCACCCAGACAGCCTCAGCGCGCGTGGCTCTACATTTAATACAATTAGAGCTGACTGCTTATACACACATGAGGTGTGTGTGTTTAATTGGGTCGTGGATGCTCAAAAGATGCGGCTCCCCTCCCCATGCGTCACAGTGTGTGTCCATACTCCGTCGGAACGTTTTGCAGATTAGCAGCTCTCTGAGTCACCTTGTTAATTGGGTAATCCCATAATCCCCTGCGCCATATGTTGTTGGCCTTTTAGTTTCCAGTTTGTCACCAGCACTCCGGGGTTTGTGGCCTAATCCTATGGAGCAGACCACTGCTCAGTGGAGTGGATTCATTCATGGGTGCAGCCGCCAAATGATGCAAGATGGAGAGTGGAAATCATGTGGAAACTGTTGGTTCGGACACAATAGTTCAGCGGAAAGACGCTTTGGCATGTCTGTAGTTTTGTCATTCCTTTGATTAGAAAGCCCCGGGGAATTCATTATTATTTTTGGGTTCATCGGAATCTAACAGCGTTAGCAAAAGGCCATCTGCTCATTAATGGCAGCAGTGCATGCGTGGATATTTAGCACGATACATCCAGAGATCCGTCAGGTCTGTTCTGATGAATACAGGCTGGTTTGCAGTGAAGCTCTGGGACTGGCGGAGCTTGTCATTTCTATGACAACATGTTAGAGGAAGTCCCTCTGTGTTTGTTGGGAAACATAACTCTGAGTTGCATTAAAATCTATAAGACAAGTGAAGAAAAGAGTCTGCGAATAGTTTCCACTCCAGTGGTTTGTGACTGGAGGTGGTGCAGATGTCAGAGTGGAGCTCTGTGTGGGCTGGGTGCATGTGGGTGTCTCTTCACTTCAGCTTGTGGTTAACCACAGTGTTAGCCGTCTTCCAGCAGACATTTAAAGAATGAATCACTAAATCCTTGAGGAAAAAAATGGCAAACATTGTCCCTCTTAACAAGTGCTGTTCATCTTGTAGTGAGTTGTCAGCTCACCCTAAAATCTCTTTTGAAGTACTGCGTCACAAACACACAGATCTCAATGGGAACAGAGCCTCTGTTTCTGCTGCAAACACAGACATTCACAACATCTGAATCACCGTGGCTACAACTAATTATATTCATAATCGTTAATCTATGAAATGTCAGAAATAGTGAAAAATGCTCATTAAAACATCCAAGGTGACATGATATGTGAGCTCAGTAGCTGTTATGATTTAATTCAAGCTGTAGCATTTTGGCTTTTTCTTTTTGGAGAAACTATCCCAACTCAAGGTCAACAGACTTAAAAGAATCTTTTTAAAAATTGCTTATAAGTGGGCCTTGAGTTGGGATTACTTTGTCAAACTTATATTTTCAAGGTCAAGAATTGGACACCTTGTGGTTTAGAGGGCCAAGAGGCTGAACACTGAACCACAACGTCCCTGATTTAAGTTCAGCCGGCCTTTGTTACATCTCTATTAAGTGCCAAAAATACTTTATAACAGAATAAACTTTGATGTGTAAGAGAATACTTCACTTTCAGAATGATAATTTGTACATCAATTATTCATCTTTGTTTTACTCTCCCGTCTCCTTGGTGAACGGAGAATCCACAAAAGACAAACACTCTTCATGAATGACGTAAACAGGGTCTGCATTTAACAATGATCAATGGCGGCAGCATGAAGACACTGTGTTCTCAACTCCCTGAACATTTAAAATTAAGCATTTAAATACAGTTAAAAAGAAGAAAGAAAAAGAAAAATAAGGAAAATGCAGTATAAAGAGGTGGCACGAGATGAAGACGAGAAGACAGGAGACACAGGGAAAAGAAAGTAAAAGTAACTTGATAGACACCACGGCATCAACGATGGAGGACACTGGGGAGATACAACAATTACTTGTGGAATTGAAAGAATCTGTCACTGACCAAATCAAGGATTTTAGAGCAGATGCAGAGCATGACGTCAAGAAAATAATGAATCAAACGAAAATTCTGCAACAGGATGTGGAGACACTGAATATAAGAATACGAGAGCTGGAGAGCAGAGTTAGTGAACTGGAGGATGAAAAACTGGATCAACAAACAAAAATAAAACAGCTCAGTACTTGTATGATTGAGATGGGTGACCAAATTGACTACATCCAAAATAAATCCAGGCAAAATAATATACACATCTATAGCACCATTGAGTGGAGGGAGGGAAGCAATGTGACCACTTTCATTCAGAAACTGTTTAAGGATGACGAGGAGGTCCAAACTGTCACACAACTTGGGCAGTATAATCCAAGTCTCATTTATCCAGTCATATGCTCAGTACTTTCACACATTCATTTTCTCTATAATGTTAAGATTTTACACACTTCTGCATATTAGTAGCACACCCTGAGTCTGTGTTCAAACTCAAGTCAAGGCAACACGTGGTGAGTAATTGATACTGTGCATTTTTCAGGTAAAAGTTTCCTTTAATTTGAAAACACAGACAAAAGGTCTTGCTAAGGAGCAGGCTGCAGAGCAACAGATCCATGACAACTGAGCAAACTCTGTTCTGATAAAGACCTGGTAAGGCCCTGATCACACAGAAAGCGTTTCAGCAGCTGGAGGCAGCTTTTTGTAATAGATTTTAATGAGAATGAAGCTTTTTGGTTGCTGTTTTTGTGTTGTGATGAGCCTCCTGTTTCTGCGCTTGAGGCGCCTGGTGTTTTTGCCGGAGCAATCTGAACTCCTCAAGTTGGAAAAAAAACTTAACTTACAGTGGAAAAGCACCCGACGTCATCTCAGCTTTTTTCCCATTGTTCAATTGGACGATTTGAGAGGCAGGCCTTGTGTGGTGGTCACGACAACAAGTTTATAGTTGGTAAACTTGGAGGAGAAACTGGTGGTAGCGGTTTCTGGATACCCAGAGCTATACGGCTCGACAATACACAGCAGGTTGTCAAACTGCCCCTGAGTCATCCTAAAATATGTCTGGAAACAGCCATCATGGAGGTGAAGCTCCTGGACCAACTGGTGGTACTCCCCATGATCCACCCTCTTTTTTAGGGTCTCATGTACCCATACAGATCTCTGTTTATCTGCTGACAGCCTCTCACCCTCTACCACAGCTACAACGAGTACCCTCTGCCTCAACATTCTAGGAACTAGATATTATTTACTGTGAAATAAATAAAATTTATAAATTCACAGCAAACAGCATAGATTTTTTGAAAGTTGAAAGTTTTGGAGGTTTAAGAACCACAAACAGAATCAAGCTCAGTGTTCACCATCAGCTGCATCTTTAAATTAAAGTGAGCAGTGTCACATTAAAACCACCTGGATGAAAACTCACACTTTAGGTAAAAGCAACACACTCCTCTATAGTCAGTGATCAAACAGTCAATATCAGCCTAAAAAATTGGTCTAACCGTAGGAGCGACTGTTGCTGTGTAATTAGTGAAGTCCCATCATCACGTCTTCCCCAGTCACTGCGTGACATTTTACATTGTGTAACGTCTTTATAATCTCATGAATGTTTGACGCAGTCGACTGACACGTTCATTCTCTGCATCAAAAATGGCTCCGAGCTCGTAGGAGGTGTTATTAGCAAAGAAGCAACAAACGTCTATCAGACACCCACATGAAGAAAATGAACAGTGACATATTCTCTTTTACTGTTTTCAATGGCTTTTTAGCTGCAGTGTGGAAACCTCACCTCCCTCACACACCTCCCTCACACCCACCCTCCCTCACACATCTCCCTCACACCCACCCACACTCTCACCAACACACAACTGCTACATGCCAACACAGGCTGATGTACAGGTTCACAAGCCCTTTTCAGACGCGACATACAGAACTTTGCTGGCCTCAGCAGGCCGTTAAAGTGATGGCTTAGTGTCATCCGGATGTAAATGGCTTTTACCCAAACCTTCATTACAGCTTTAGGACATTTACGGAAAGAGACAAAGTGCTTGAGAGACAGATTGTGTGAAAGGAAACAGCGTCACATCTGGAAAAGAGCTGAGAAGTTTAATAGTATGAAACAACAGAAGTGTTTTCTGTTCTCTCTGCGGCTGCGTCACTGATGGATTTTTAAAGTTATTTTGCTGTGAACATCTTCATTAATAACATTGTTCTCTTATAGTTAATCTCTTCGGTAAATTAGAAAATCTAACAGTGTCAAAGTGTAAAGTGCTTTTAATTTCTGTTTGCTGGACATTAGTTTATTGATCTTGCAGGAGATGTGGATTAAAGTATGGACATTGGAAATAAAAGGAGGGAAACAGCTAGTCTGATTTTATTCTAACTGTGGCTGTACGAGGATATCTTTGTGCTGTGGTCGCATCTGGTCGAATCTTAAGTTTTGTCCCAAGCGATATAATATGTAATTTTTC